AAATTACTGTACACAGTGTATTCATTAATTTTCATTTTCATGTAGTAAAGGCTCTATGCCTTCATAAAGGACGTACTTTTCCTTTGTTTAAGGGTATTTGGGCAGTTTATTCTCTGTTGTATTCTCAAGTAAACAATACATACAAGTACAGTACAGTATTTTCTGAGGAAACACTCATACTTATTTTTTTAAACCCCATTCCCGATAACCCAGCATTTTCACAAACTCGGCCACCCTTCAGTCCACATTAGGCTGAGTTTTCGAGACTCTACTGTACTACTATGTTTTCTATCAATATGAAAATTTTATATTACATTTTTTGTTACGTTACATATAATAATAATAACTCTCGCGCCAGTCACCAATTTTCTGTGGTGAGAGAGCTCAGTAATTCTGATGAACTATGCCAGTTGGATCATCTGCTCCTCATAAGGTCACCCATGCCAGAGGTCTGTGAGAAAAATGAAGTCAAGAGTGACTGAACCTACATCTGTGGAGATCTAACAAAGGTAATAATACAATCCAAATGTAATACTGGCTTGGATGCTGCCGGGTTGACAAGATCCACACTTGTGAGTTAGGCAGCAGTTCATGTTCAAAAAATATGTCACAGTCTCCCTTGGTCACCAGTAGTGAAAGCAGTACTGGCCCAAGTATGGATATTGCAATGCCCACACCAGTTGTGAAAATCGTTTTGTTAAGTTATGACAATGCAACACTCAGACAATCTGCCTAGGGGGATGACTTCCAGAAAGTCTTTTTAGGGTAACTGGCCCTATTCAGGCATTACAGATGTGGAGTAAATCCAGAAAACTTTACATGGCCAGCCCATCCTGGCGAGGCGTGAACCCACAACCAAACTCCCAGTGTTCAGGGAACAGAACTGCTTGGCCACTGGTGGGCCCCCAGTTGTGAGAAACTGACTGATCAAACCTTGATGTTTCTAAGGCAATCCAGCCATAGATCACTAAGGCAGGTAATAAACTGTAGAACTAATATGTTAACATGCTGTTTATGTACATATCTAGGACATGTTTAATAAGGCAGCCTTCTATAGGTATGATGTGTATTGTGAAGTTCTAGTGTTTCTAGATTTTTGTGTAGTGTATGTGATATGAGGTTGTTCAAGAAAAGACTACAGGCGTGATAAGTACCCTATCTTCTCACCATAGATGTTTTGTTATATTGGATAGTTCAAGCATATTTACTAATTTCTTCAGTAGTGTATGTATTTTGAACATTGAATGTTTAGTACAGCTGTCTATGATATATGTGATTTTGTTTGTTTGTCAACAAATGTAATGTCTGGATTGTTGTGATGGATTGTTTCATCTGTGATTACAGCTAATAGTATATTTTGAGTGTATTGTTTTCTATGACCTATTAGTAGTATGATTTCTAGGTCTGCAATAGTTTGTGTTGTGTACAAGCTTTTGATGTTTTATATTTACTATTTGGTCATATAAATGTAAGTTAGTCAGTTTTCATTAAAAGCTTGAAATCTGATGTGATGTGTTGTGTATGTGGTATTTCCTATAAGTGTTGTCTGCAAGTGTTTTGTTTTTTTTTTAGATATGCTTTCTGCTATTTGTAACCTAGTGTTGTATGGCAACAGCAACCCTTCTGTTTCTTCAAAGAGGCATCCATAAGTCAACCAGCAGTTTGAGACAGTTCTGTCAACATGATCCTGGCTGAGATTGTTGGGGTGCTTACTGTAAAGTTTATTCTGGGTCCAAGACTATCTGATGGATCTATGAATTTTGTGTACTATGTTAGATACAGGTACAACACTGACTTATATTTTAATGTAAGTTTAATAGCATATTATTAATAATAATTATATTAGATTTATCTAGTTTCCTTTTACAAAATAAAATCATACAAATTAATTTTCCAAATAAGATAACATAGAACAAACTTCAATTTAATATAATAAATTATAAAGAAATTAAATAATTTTGTTATTTACCTTAAAAATAAATAATGCTTCTTTCACTGGTACTATGCAAATAACACCTAATGCAAATGCAAGATCAGTAGTCTGAGATGAAAGTATATAATGTAACAATACTTTAACAACATCAAGCATTGATGAGGACTGATACATTTGTATGAACTGATTCAACTCCATTTTCTATAAAAACAAAAATATTTTTATATTAAAATAGGTAAAATTTATAAATACAGTGGACCCCATGTAATAGGAATATTAAGTGATGTTATCTTCACTTAATACTCCTATAAGGAAATGAGAGGATGACAGAAAAATGAAGAAGCATGTTGGATCCAATTTATAAAGAGATAGGTGACATTCATAATTGCACAAACTACAGGGGCATTGAATTGATGAGCCATTCTATGAAGATTTGGGAGAGAATTATTGAAAACAAAATTTGTAAGATTACAAGTTTAAGGGAACAATAGATACTATTTTTGTCCTGAGACAACTAATAGAAAAATAAAAAAGGACGGAACAACCTATATATTGTTTTTATTGACCCAGAGAAAGCCTTTAATAGAGAGGAACTATGGAGGTGTCTCAGAAGAAAATTTGTTCATGAGAAATATTTGAAGTAGTAATGGATATGTATGATAATTGTAAAACTAATATTAGATTGCAGCTGGAAATACGGTGCCCTTTCCTATTGTTGTTGGGGTACATCAGGGCTCTGCCCTGATCCCATTACTCATTGCTATTGTGATGGAAATAGAAGAAATGCAAATAAAAGCACTACAGTCTAAAATGAAGGCTGATGATATTGTTTTGTGCTGCAACAAGAAAGGAATTTGAGAATTTGGAGGGTAGCACTAGAAAACAGATGTTTGAGATTGAGTGCAACAAAAACAGAATTTATGACATGTGGATTGAATGATGTGGGAAATGATGATGACTGGCATATTAAGATGAATAGTCAAAAACTGCCTAAGACAAGGAATCAAGCAAGTATTTAGATTCTTTCGTGGATCACAACATAGATAGCAAGATTATTTCCAAAGGTCAACTATAGAATACAGACAGGTTAGCAAAGTTGGAGAAGTGTGTCGTGTGTTTTATGTAATAAGAAAAATCCCACTAAAACTGAAAGAAAATGTTTATAAGTCAGTGGTAAGGCCTGCCTTAATGTATGGAATAGAAAAGTCACCACTAATGAAAAGCCTCATAAGAAAAATGCAAGTAGGCTGGACATTGAGATGAAAATGCTGAGATGATCATGTGGAGTGACAAGAAGGGGCAGGATCAAAAATAACATAATGAGAGGAACTTTGGGAGTTGAGAAAATCTGTAAGATTAGAGTCAAGGTTGTGGTGGTTAAGGAATATGGAAAGTCCTTTGAATTATGTTAGAAAATGTGATGTGTGTGATAAAGATGGATCTTCCTGGGAGAATGAGAAGAGGTAGACTGAGTTGATGATCGTTTCTCAGTGTGTTTAAGGATATGTGGCTCTTAAGGCTGTTATACACGATAAGGAAATCCTTTGAGGATTAACCGTGATTTTTTTTCTATCTATCCATTTTTAAATAAAAATAATTCTTTATACGTTGGGAGATATTTTAATAAGTTTTGTAAATTACTATATTCGATCCAGCCAGTTATATTCGAGTTTTTTTCGTCTGTTAAGCACATCCTTTCAGCATTTCCTTACCGTGTATACCAGCCTTTAGAATTGATCAGTGAGGTGGAAGAAAGTGATCTGCAGCAGTGATTCTATAAGAGTGAAACTAATAAGCTGAAGAACAAGAATAATATGTTATTTTTGTTCTTCAGCTGATGTTATTTTCTCATAATGTTATTCTTCTGTAAGAAAGTACTAGTTCATGCAATATTAAAAGTACACCTAATATGATGCCTTATTATCAACAAAGCATTAGTGAATATGAATGAATGGTCTTTTTCCTGAGTAGTGTTGCCAAGCACTAAGAATTTTCATCCTAAATTTAGAGTTTTTTAAACCTAGAGGTAATAATTTGCAATTGGGGTTTAGGATTTTTCTGAATAATTTAAATTCTACAAGTAATTAGCATCTTGTTACTTTTTTAACTATATTTTTTTCCTCTAGAATAATTTTAAAAAAAATTATGTTGTGGTAACATTTTAAAAAGTTGTAGTATCTGAACATTTTGTATCAATTAGACAATTTACATATAACATATAATGGAACATTATTTTCATATAACAGTACTAAATTTTGCATCAATTAATAATGTAATGTGGGAGTCCACTGTATACTGTTAAAAATAATTTAATTAATATTTATGATACATACATGCAACATTTCAGCATTTGCATAAACATCCAAAAAAGCTACTAATAGTTTAATCATAGCTTTTAAAGTTGCTTCTCCTTGGCATTTTCCTCTTAAAGCACCAATTAACAGTTTACCATTATAAAAGTATTCTTTTATACTGTTAACTGTATTTTCATCATCTAAATTTTTACCTAAATAAATTTGAAATTTAAATAATTAAATTTTAATGCAAAATTTATAAATTCAACCTCAAAATTCAAAATATACTCTTAACCATTTTTAGCTTTTGAAGAAATATGAAACATAAGACATCTCTGTATAAAAGGAGTCATTTGAGATGGCAAAATACGAAGTCCACGATCTTGATAAAGTGGAGAAAATTTCCATTGATAATAACGATCAGTTTTACCTGACATCTTTTCTAAATCATGAGGCATTGTCAGGGAATGTAAACTAACAAGTAAGGAAGTCCAATGGCAGTAATCCAAACATTTTTCCAATAAGTCTAATTTGTGTAAGAGAAAATTATAAATTAATTTAATAATAAATACTGTATATTTCTGCAGATAAGATGAGGAATAAATTTTCGTCAAAGTTTTATAGTTTTAGCATATATCTGTCCTATAAGACAATTCCCAAAATATCGATGGCCTATGTATGAATTTAGTTCAGATCAGCAATCATCATCTGGTTAATAATACTGTAGAGTGTACATGGAATTATGTCCTATTTGTAATTTTTTGAATGAACAAATTTTATTTTCTTGCATCTGGCAGCACTGCCTTGCAATTGTTGCAAAAATTTGCACTGATTCAGGCATTCAGGTAATGACCTTGACTATTTACAGAAACATTGTATAAGCTATTCTATTGTGAGATTTTGGACACACCCACCCTAATTAATTGAAATTTGATGTCAAAAACATACATTTTTGAAAGTAATATTTCTGATTTTAAATGAAAGAATTTTAAGTTAAAACGAAGGAAACTGGTAAAAGTCACTTCCTTCAACGGAAGTTTGACATCCTTTTTGTTTTCCCTTATCTCCTAAAATTTTAGTCACCCTGGGAACAGTCAACCCCTCTGTAAACCCCACTCATCCTGAACACGTGGGAATAATACAATTCTCTGATTGGAGAAAAACATCAAAAAAGGGGATTCTTGAGTATCATTCGGGGAGTACGCCACAAAATTCGAGAGAAGAAAGATGTATTCCACATCATCTCCCTACGGCCAACACCCATAACCGATTCCTGAAGTCTACTAAAATGCATTAAGTCAGTAAATAAGAGAAGAAAATGTTTATTGATATGCTATTGAAGAGTTAACCAAGATAAGAACATTTGCATTAATCTGAAATACAGATAAAGATAAGAGAAATGTATGATTTTAAGAAATTGTATGATTTTTACAGAAATTGTGAACTCCCTCTCTCTGCGATAAATAGCTTTATTTGAAGGTCTATTTTGTATAATTTTATTTTTGTTTATTAAATATTTGTTCTATTTGTTAAAAAAATGGTCTCCCAAGTTTCTGAATCAAATCTACTAAATCATCTCCTAAATTTTTCCATAAGTGTGTTAATCCGCAGATTATAAATCTGATTAACTGGTGTCAAGGATCCTGACGAGATCTAGGATTCATTCCCTAGATCCTTCTTTTACACATTATAGAAAGCCCTCCTAGAAAAAGCTTAGTGAGCCAATCTAAACGATTGTGTGCCTGTAAGTGACATAGATCAATTCTATGAACCTTGGCTTCTCTCACTATTTTGTAAACATACCCTACTCTCTACTAGTAAATAATTGTGGTTTGTCTGTTTTTTCCTTAGTAGCTAAATAGACATAACTTTTAATATTTATTTTGTTCTAGTATTGTTTTCATTGTTACATAATTCAATCTAATTTTCTTTTGTATCTGTCCTATAAGGTCACCCTAGATTTTGAAGACTTTTTTTTATTATTCAACTATTGTCTTATCTGCAGAAATATATGGTAATAGAATACAGAAATATGAGTAACTGAAATCTTACTTGGTTTACAGTAAGCCATTAACTGAGAAAATAAGCTGTGCAAGACAACAGGAAGTTCACTAACTTTATTGCTGGCTTTAGCTATTGTTTCCATATTTCTACAGAAGTGTTCTAAAGTTTCAAATATAGTGTTGGCAGACTGTACATTACAAACATCTGTAAGCATACTGTTAAAAATAATTTAATCATTAATTTTATAAAAATAATACATATTGTGAAAAGGTGTGAAAAGGTAAAATTCGAAACAGCAAACATTTTCTGAACACCTTCCGTGTTAATCAACTGGTAATCTAGCTGGATTCTTTATTCTGGAACACCATCATGAAATTTTAAAATAAATCGAATGATGATAGCTCAATTATCCAGTGTCCATTGTGCACCTGTTGTACTGTACATGTCGTGTTCCCCACTGTTGCTGATATGCATGGCTACCACAATCTTATTCCAAGAATCTCAGAACGCCACAAAAGAGCACTAATGTCTCACAACACCTCTATGACGACACTGGGGGACAACCACGATATTGATGTTGAAAGGATTTCTCTTATATTCAACACTGTCTTGAGATCTGTATATACAGCTATCGCCAAAAGACATAATGTCATCATTGCATACAAGAGAGGCCCAACTATGTTTGACATGTTATGTAATGGAAAGGACCCATCTGACCTGATTAAATTACCAGGCATCTATTGAATTCCTGTTGGGGATGAAAGATTCAATAGGGATTTGATCTACATAGGATCAACGAAACACTCAATGGGGGCAAGAATAAGAGAACACAAATCAGACATACAATACAACAAAGCCACCATGTCACTCTCAGTATATGCTTCTGACCTGGGCATTACTGTTGACTTTGCAGGGGCAGCGTTAATAGTCAAAACAACACAGATGGACCACCTCAAATGGCTGGTGGCTGTAGAGATATATAAAGTGCACACACTTCATCTGAGTGCATTAATTCCTGGGAGGAAATGGCTCTTTTGTTGGCTTGGCAGGCCTTATTGCATAATGATTCTTAAGGATTTGTTTAATATCGGATGATGCACGGGGACATGTAACATCAAACATAAGAATATTGCATCATATAAGAAAAATACATGCATATGAGAAGAAGTAATGCGAATCTGAACAGTGGGGAACATGACATGTACAACAGGTGTGCAATGGACACTGGATAATTGAGCTATCATCATTCGATTTATTTTAAAATTTCATGATGGTGTTCCAGAATAAAGAATCCAGCGAGATTACCAGATGATTAACATGGAAGGTGTTCAGAAAATGTTTGCTGTTTCGAATTTTACCTTTTCACACTGGTTAGAGGCTTGAGTAAGTTGAATTTTTATTATACACACTCCTGTGTGCATGTAGAAGTTATATTAATCATAAATTTTTTTATCCCATGGATAGATTCACATGTACAGTGAAACCTCACTTAACAAGCATAATTTATTCCAGAATCTTACTCGTAATGCGAAACAGTTTTTCCCCATATAAATAAATGTAAAATATGATAATGCATTCCATGCCAAAAAAAAATACTCAAATATTTTATGTATGATGTTTATTCAAAGAAAATTATGCAATATACATTGTTAAGAAGTGTGAATCATTATCTTTTCTTGTAGCATGAAATGAACCAACCTGGAATGCAAATTCGATTTGCAGAAAACAAAAAAAATCACAGATAATATGTCTGATAAACATGCCAAATGATATGCCAAATTCTTGGGCTATGTAAAGGCTATAATTAAATATTAGAAATTAATTAATTTGACTAGAGGTAGGCAGTTATGCTGCCATCTCATATTAAATTTAATAATTATAAATAATTAATTTTTAATTTAGACATNAAAAAAACTTTTGCTGCAAAAGTAATTAATAAAATTTTCATAGATCATAGATAACAATGAATATGTATTAGCCCATACATTTTTGGAAAAGAACTTTTTTTCGTAATGCTAAGGAGATAACTCAGGCAAAGAACTAAAGAATATCTATATAGATTCAATTGAGTTGAGCCTGGAAAACTTTATAGCAAACTATAGAAAATTTTAAAACTTATAATGGTTCAAAATGTTGCAATTCCTGTATATCATCCTGTAGATGGTCATCTTCAATATATTTTTTCATACTAGCAACTAATCCAACCATTTCTTTCCTACATACTGTATTTTGAATTGCACCTGCATGCTGGTTTTCCTGAAATTTCCAGAAATTAGTTTTCAGATATTATCAAGCCTTCTTCCTGCACTCATTTTTTTACTTAACAAGTAACGACGATGATAATAATGTCTTTTTCCATCCAAGTAATATTACATTAGCTGTATTGCTAACAGTATTAATTGGCATGTGCTATCAGGAAATCTCCTCTTAGTGATAAAAGTTGCATGCCATGTGCTTTCATGACCCATGAGAGTGAGAAAAATTTCCCATTCCCATGCTCACGTTTAGCTCATAAGTCAGAAAAAGTTTATTTACTAAATTTATGTACTAAAACATTTTTTTAAATGTAAAACATTGTTTTAAAATAGTATTTTATAATGTAATATAAACTGTTTTAAAACAAAAAAAGCAAAGGTTTCTAAATAAAGCATGTATTATTGTTTTATTTAAAAAAAAAAAAAACATAAATTTCCCAACTCTGAACAAAAATGATAAATGCAATCAGAGATTCTATATAAATAATCTATAGAAAATGTTGAATGAACTCCAATAGCAAGTTGATACAGTATGCACACTCACAAGACCACAAAAATCTATAAAGATCAAAATGTAGAGATTTTACATATGCATATTTTAGATGCATAATTGAACCCTTCACAAAAAAACAGTATAAATGTTAACTTATTTATGACAAATCTTATATAATTAATGTTTAACGATATTAAGATTATTTTAAAATTAAAATCTGAATTATCACTTTAATTAATAATTATTTCCTCTTGTGTTTATTCAATGCAATGTGTTTATATTATTATTATATTTTTCAAAAAAAAAAAACTTGAGAAAAAATTGAGATTTAAGTAAAAAAGTACAGTAGTCTCTCAAAAACTTGGCACTCCGGATAACTCGGCCACACCCTGGCAGGGCAAAAAAATCCTTAGTTAATTAATTTTCATTATAGACAGCTTTATGCTCCATAAAGTATTTTTCTGAGGTCTGTCTTATCAGGTAAATTACTGAGGTAAATTACTG